GTATAGTTAACATTTACCTGTCAGTTATCAATAAAAGCAGCAACTTTATAAAAATTTCTTTCAATAAAGAAATACTTAAAGACTGTATATAAGTATCAGATTAAGTATCTATATTAATAATTGTGGTACATAGCTGAGGCCTACAGTAAATATTGTGGTAAAAATATTAATGATACACATTTATGAATCAAAGTCATTTTCATTAGAAATAGAGATAATTGTTAAAATTGGTATTATGGCTATAAAATTATTATTTTTATAATAATTGTTATACAAACTTAACAATGTTTCCATATGCACATAAACTTGTACATGTGTGCATCAGACTATTGGGTGCATTTTATTTCAGAATACAGACTATTCATGAAATATGTTCCTATCATGAAAAATAAATTGTGCTGTGATCCTACCAACTGCAAACAATGCATACTGTGCAGATTGCACTCTCTGAGCTATGAAAAGTAGGCACGCTGTTCGTTCAATGTCAAAGTAGTCATTAATGTGCCATGATGAATAGCAAGTGTCTGTGCCAGAAATCCTGAACACAAATTGTAATGCTATGTAATGCTATGTAAAGAGTAAATGCTATGTAAAGGACTAAATATTTCTGACCAAAAACATTCCCAGACTAAATAAACATTTATTTCGCAAAATCAAATTTTATTTAAAACAATATTAATGTTTTAGAACTTTGGGAATGTTTCAATGGAAAAGAGTCCATTTATACTAGATGAATTCAAGCTCTACATTTCATTTTTATAATTCGAGTGGCCCTGTAAGTTATTGCCAAATAATAACACTTTGAGAGAAAAGAAATAATTAGTGGAGGACAGCAGACACAAATTGGGATTAGTCCAAGCAAACCAGACCAAATGGTTACTTTAATATGTAATTGAAAACACCAACAAATTCAAATATTCTTTCATTTACTGTTTTTTGTAATCTTAGTTTTAAATATGAAAGTCTGCATATTTTATTTTATGTAGACAGAAGGGACAGTAAAGCTGTCTTTACACCTACTCTGAATAAATTCCAGTCCTATTATGCCCCTGTGTGGCCAGTTAGCACAGCAAATTCACTGTCACACACTGAACAATGATGAAATAATTCCATCTGGAAGAAAAAATATTTTTTTTCAAGCAGCAGCAGACTCACAGACTCCAAGAAGGGACTAGTGGTTACCAAAGGGGAGGCGTGTGGGAAGGCAGGTGGAGAGGGAGGGAGATGGGGATTGAGGGGTATCATGTTTAGTACACATGGTGTGAGGGGTCACGGGGAAAAGTGTTGCACAGAGAAGGCAAATAGTGACTCTGGGCATCTTATTACACTGATGGACAGTGACTGCATTGGGGTATGGGGGGGACTTGATAATATGGGTAAATGTAGTAACCACATTGTTTTTTCATGTGAAAACTTCATATAGTATATATCAATAATACCTTAATAAAAATTAAAAATATATATATGTGTATATATATATTTGTTCATGTACAATAAAGATTACTAAAATTAGTAAATGGAAAAATTTAGAGGATATTAAGTAGATTTTTCCACAGATTTCATCACAAAAGATAGTCATCACTATCATGTTTATATGAATACTGCTCAAAGCAACTGATTACTCAATGCAGTGAACTCTATTAAAAATATACCTTCCAGCAGTTCCAAATTTATATTTACTTCTGAAGACAAGATCACAAAATTTAGATTTCATAATGTACTTAGTAGGTGAGGACTTTTTACTGGGGACAAAAGCAGTTACCTTTGTACTCTGATTAAATAACCTTAATTTGGGGGAAATTAGTTTATATTAATAAAACTTGATAATCAGAATTTAAACTAAAGTGGTATTTCATCAAAACCTACCAACCAAATTTACATAGGATGCAGACACTGATTTTCTTTTTCTTGCTGTACCTTCAGTTGCCTCATTTTCACTGTAAAAGAACAGAGGATATCCTGCCACCTTTTTTATGCACTAAAATGGTACTCAACAGCCACAATGATAAAAGAATAAACTAAGAACTTTCAGTGTGAAATAAAAGGGTCATGCTATATGGTTTCCAACAAAATTTAGTCTAAAATATTCTAATGATTTTCATTTATAAATAAATTCCAGTTTTTATTTCATACTAAAATAACAAACTATAGTAATCTCCAGTTGAGTGATTTATGATACATAAAATATTATTGGTGTATTTAAAATCTTTGATCCTTTGTTAAGTTGAACTTGGAAATGTTTTTGAAGTAATTATTATGGAAGCTTTTCATCTTTTGACCTTTTATTGCTTATACGTCCATAGAAGTAAACTCTCCTACCACCTGAAAACCTAATGAAAGTTCAGTTGCTGATATAGAGAGATTAGTTACCTAAGAAAAGTCTCAAGAAAACTACTTGAAACAATCCACTTTTAATATATTGACTAAAATTGATGCATAGTATTATTCTAATATTTCTCCTACAAAACAATCAAAATAAAATATAATTGTCCATATTTATATTTTTCTATCAAAGATCATATTTAATGTCACAATGCAAATACTTAATATTCTACTTGAACTAATCCAAACAAACAATTACTATTCACATTATAATAACCAAAACTGTTCTTTCCAGGATGATAGTGAGATAATTGATGCTTCCAATCTCAAGACCATTAATGTCCAGGCCACAAAGGTGAAAGGCCTATTATTTAGGAACAGTTTTAAAGTTGTTTAAGATCACATCTTCTAATGACATACTCAGATCATTCTTACCCCATGACTTTTTTCTTCAAGAATGATTTTTTAGTCAACATCTTACTTTCTGATTCATTGCTAACTGGTTATATATTGATGCTTAGGCATCTGTATTTTTTTAGAAGAATCTAAGCAGAATAAGAATTTTTAAAGACCATTGAATCTGATGTGAACACAAAGTAATCGAAAGGTTAAAATATGTTGTGGCCTTAACTATGAGTTACATAAACTTATTTTCACTCTTCATACTTCTAAGATAACTATTTGTATAACTGGTTTTGATGGATTTTAAAAGTAAATTAAGTAGTTGATTTATTTATGGAAATCAACAGATCCTTGTATAAAAAATGTTACATTTTTTGAAGACTAAGAAATTAACATATAAAGGCAGTGATGTTTTTCTCTAAAATGGAGTAAGTACTGATTAACTGGTAAGTTTCAGATAATCTTAGATTAAAATAAGTCAAAGTTTAAAAAAATAAAAATAAATAAAAAATAAATAAGTCAAAGTAAGTTAAGTAAGTCTGGTCTCACAGAAGCATTAGAAACTTCACAATTTATGTTTAATTGCAGCACCATAAAATTCCACATTTTTAACGAGAGCATTTCAATTATAAGCATGCCAACAATAAAAGAAACTTGAAGCTAAACAGAGCAAAAGCATAATGATAGGGATGCATGATTCCCTCAAAAAAATGTATATTCTCATATTTTAAAATAAAATTTACTTTAAAACTGATTTTATACCATAATGTTAACAGCATAATTTTTAAACTGAACATAACACCCAGCCCTAATATTAATGTCTTTTAACATATAGATTTGTGACATTAAAGAAAAGAGATAGAAATCAAACAAGGAAAAGATTCATAAAACATGAGTACAAATTCTAACACTCTAGTACCTTTGGGTAGTGGAAATTTTAAGAAAGGCATACTGCCTCTCTTAGTTAAATATAACCTGCAATAAAGATTATTTTTTATCACAAATTACAGACACTCAAGTGATGTGTTACTAAACTAAAAAATCCAGTATCTTAAAATACAGACAGCCTATTATAGAATATCACAGCTTTTCAGATACTGTTACATATTTTAAGTTAGTCCAAACACTACATATTAAAAAAAGTCAGATTAATCAATTGAACAGAACTACACTAAGGAAAGAAGTGAAATTTTATAAAGAGCAGATATGTTATTCCATATTCAATGAAAAGGTCATAGATAAATTTATCATCAGTAGACATTTTAAATATCAAAAATTTTTAAAGCCTCCCTTTCATTTGCAAAATTAGGACATATTGGGTAATAAATATTTTTTTATCTGTAGAATAGGCTGCCTCAACATTGTTCAGAGATCCTAGAAGAAAGAAACCGCAAAACCATTCAATATTCTATACACTATTAGTTCTCCTTCAATTTCCAAAAGGTTTCAGTGCATTATCATGTTCACAGAATTTCTTTCTCAGTCTTTCTGCCATATATTTAGTTAAAATGGGATCTTTTCTATACTAGGTATAGAACATTAGAAATTCTCAAAAGGCAAACAAATTAAACAAGGGAAGAACTGGGTGATAAAACTGCATTTTAAGAGCATTCTTTAATAGGCTAGCTCTTTTGGTGTAAGCCAGAGAAACCATTTAAAAATTGTTCATGATTTAACAACCTTCATCACACACACACACACACACACACACGACTGAAAAAGCAGTAGGAATTTATAACAAAGCATCCTTCCAAACTAGCCACCTAATACAAAGCTGTTACTAACTGCTCCATAATATAGCTTGTTTAAAGTGATTATTGATCTACCCTGCATAGAAAAATGTCTTAGACCTAGAGATCATCTTCCGCATGTTTTACAGAAAGCATGCATGATTGCTAATTCACATTTTCCAACAAATCACATATGATTATATAGCCCCATCCCTTTATATGCAATGTAATCACTGCCATGATCACAAAGAAAACCTATCAGGCATTTTAAGTTAATCATTTTATTTATTAGAAAAAGAAATCATGAAACAGCCTGTCTTATGTTTCAGAGGTCAAGCTAGTTAAATTTAAGATGCTTTTTTGTGCTTTGAAGTAAGCTTATTTTCCTTCTTAAAATCTATTAAGAATCCTACATAAATTTTATATTTATCATAAAAAACACTATTGTAACACTAATATTTCAACACAGAACAATTTTACAGACATATAAGATTATAATTCTGAAAATGTCAATTCTAAAAGAAAATATAGTTTGGCTTTACTCACCTTGCATTGTTCAGTGTTTGTCCAAAAAGCTCATTTTGTAAAATATTTGGTGGGGATGAAAAAACCCCATGAAAATGAGATAAAACAGAATTGCAGACCTGGCGCAATGTCTCAAATTGCATTTTCCTTTTTTTTTTCTTCTTCTCTTATTTTTCCTTACCACCTGTCTTTAAAGTCATCTATTTGGAGACACCATCAAATAAAAACATGCCAATCAAGTTCCATATTTCTCCTGAGCTCTGTAAAAACTGTGCTTAAATGAGCAGAGGTTGATAGTTAATTGTACAGTCATTATTTCTTCTAATTCAGTCGTAGAAGATTTGGTACCCGAGCGGCTTTCGGCTTTCTCCTGACTGTAGCAAGAATTCTAAACAGCAGTAAGCTTTTTGGGCATTCCCAGCTGAAGTGTGAAGCTGAGCTGCTTTCATGTACTCTACTCATATTTCTCTAAGCCTATTAAAAACACGCAATGAATAGATGCTGTCGTCAGGAGTCTCAGCACATCTGGCTGCCAGCAATAAAATCTCAGTAGTAATAAAAATGGGGACAAGGTATCTTCTCAATGTGACTACTGGTAAGAGGAAGAGAAATTATGCATTTCCCAACCTTTTTCTCTTTCCCTGAAAAATGAGTAGCTCCAACAACAGAGTATATAGGTCTCTTCAATGTGCAGACTACTGCATAGGACCAAATACTCTAAAAATAAATGATATATCCTTCTTTTGATTTCATGAAGCAGTAAAAATATGACAGACAATAGGGCTGCATTTGTAATGCTGTACTTCTAAAGAGATATTTGAAAAATATATTTAGTTGTCTTAACTTATTTAATTTTAAAATGTCTTCATTTATCTATCTTTTTAAAACAGTGTATAATGCTCTCTCTGGTCCCTTTCTAAAAGTCATACATACGGACTACATGATTATTCACGTACTTTTAGAAAGAAATTATACACCATCAATTAAAAATCACTTTAACAGCGCATATTAAATATGAACTTTCTCACAAATCAAAAAAACACAGCTAAGGCCAAGGAGACTTTAATTGTTACTAACTTATTTCAAAAATGGTGGTCATAGCATTCTTCAGAAAAAGATAGTTCCTGAAGGCTCTAGTTGTCTTACATTGCCCAGATCACCATCCATTCTCAATGAATAGCTCTGGTTCAGGTAAAAATCTTAGGTTATTCTACATCCAGGTACATCCATTTTTCTACAAAAGATGCTCTAAAGGTAGAATGTAAACCAAACTTAAAAAATAAACTCATGGAGATGATTAATATATTTTTTGATCTTTAATTGATCCAAAACCATGACATTTCATTAACAGATACATTGCTTTTAACCCTTTTTTACCTCAGCTTTTAGCCATAACCCTCTCTCTCCTCTTCCATACACATACCACTATCGACATACAGGGACTTAAATACACTAAGTTTTTTAAAAACTGGTGAATTCTTTTTCGACATGAATAAACATGTCACAAAAAAGCAACACAAAATAAACATGCAATAATATAAATTTTCAATTTATTTCTTTTATAAACTAAGATGTTCAATTATGGGTTTGTCTTCAACTAAGAGTGCTTCATTGGCTTATTATTTATTATTTTATATTTTTATAGATGCACACTAATCTATTTATGAAATATATATATATATATATATATATACACACACACACATATATACATAATAAAGTATTTTCTGGTTTATAAAGCACTTCCACATTTAATTAACATCCACAAAAAATAATTCACCACTTTTTTAAAAACTTTCTAGCGTATTTAAGTTCCTGTATGTAGACAGTGGTATGTGTGTGGAAGGGGAGAGAAGGAGTTAGGGCTAAAATTTGAGGTAATGCTGCTATCTTTTATAGATAAAAAGAGACAGGCTTTAAGGGATTAAAGATCACACAGCTTGTAAAAGATAAGAGTATTTGAATGAAGGTCTCTGCTTTGGACTCCATTCCAAATGCTCCCCCCCCATCAACCTTCTGTATATGTACACATGGGCATGCACACACAACAAACACATGCATCTATTTGTGAATAGGTCTGTTTCTGTGAGATGAATAGGAAAACCACCTGTCAGTAACCTGACCAATGATATTTCAGTTACAGAAAACATCTCAATTTTTTTAAATTTCACAAGTAACTTCACAAGTAACTTTAAATGGGTTTCTTCCATTTAACTCAAACAGGAGCAACTTCATGTACTTCAAAATATTATGCTTCTGATCATAAGCTTATTTTTAACATTTATAAAGGTCAATTTCTATTAAGTGGAAACACATTTTTAAATTCTTCATTTCAAAGCTCATACTAATCTGTGATAAAATATATATGTATATATATTTCCCCCTTATGGGTAGATTCTATTTTTAAAAGAATCAAAGCCCTTTTCAAGCAAATCTGTTAAATGAAGTGATTATACTGCAAAACGGTGCTGTTTAAAAAAAAAAAAGCTTCTTTTATGTTTCAAAATTGGATCTGAAGAAAAGATCATAAGAAGAGTTCCAGAAATGGTCTAAGTGATGTGAACATCACTGAAATGAAACTTAACATGACTTCTTTGAACAAGTAAACAATAGAGAAGCTGTCTTCCTCAGAGCCCTATTTTCCAGCTCTCACCATACAACACACACATTGGTTAGCTTTCTCTCTTTCCTTCAGAATTCCAGAAGCAATTTCTCCCACTTTCCCCACCATTACCACCTTTCACCTGATCCTATTCATTCTTAAGGACTAAATGCTTCTTTCTGTGAAGAAAAGAACATGTGACTTTAGTTAAATGTGACTTTCTTTTAACTAGATTAGGGCCTCACTGTTTTACAGCACTTGATAAAAGTATAACTAGATATTTACTTGAAAACAATGTTTAATGTCTTTCACCCTCAATTCCATGAATTAAAGCTCACATTTGTTTTTTGTCTAGTATAGTGCCTAGTATGGAGTAGGTGCTTAGTAAATATTTACTGGATGAAAAGAAGCCTAATTGTATTGAAAAGTCAATTATTTTTTAGTCACACCCCATAAATATGATAGGAAACCACTCAGGGCTCAATTTGGTTCTTAGTTTCTGTTTTTGCTTTACCCTACCGTACCATGTTATAAGTTTCATAAATATAAGAGTGACCAATATTTTCAGTCAAAAACATTGTGCCTTGGATGTACTTTATAATTTTTTATGAATATCCTGAATACTGTAAAGAACATTTATAGCTAATATTTGTTTTACATTTTCTACATACTGCAGGATCACAGGTATGAATATTGTAAGCTTCTATGAGGAAAGAGAACATGACACTTGGAGTCAAATGGCCTAGATTTCAGTACTGACTCCAAACCTCATTAGCCATAATACCTCAGGACATTCACTTTGTATTCCTGGGCTATGGTTTCTTCACATGTAAAATAAGCTATATCACAGACCTTAGAGGGTTATTAATTGTATTAAAACATATCATATATATAAATGCATTTTATAAGCTCTAAAGTATATAGCATTTAAAAGTAACCTCACTATTAACTCTCTGAGGATTCAAATTCTTGGAACCAGGATTCTAGAACTTATGTTCAAGTAACTTTTATTTATCACATTTATTCATGCAACACATATTTATAGAATTTCTTTGGGCAAGGCTCTATCACTTCCATTACGCTGTAACAGGATGCAAAGCTTACGCTTACCCCTTTCTGGGAAAATCAGACAAATTCAGAATGTCCTCCAAGTAAGGTCAGCTCCATATTTACACTGAGTCCAGCAGACAGGCATTAACTCTCACAAATGGTGTAGGTGGAGGCAACTGCTTTTTCTATGGCTGTTCTAGCAGGCACCGCAATGGAAATGACAGGGCTAACTAGAGTTCCCACAGAAGTGTTAAGAAACTTCTAACAGCAAAGGCAGTTTCATTAAAAGTTATCTAAAAAGCCAATCAACACTTGAAAAGTTCAATCTGAAAGTAATCAAAAAAAAAAAGTAATGTAATTTTACCTATTACATTGGCAAAGATTTGGCTAGAGGGTTAAAGAAGAAGTACTCATACCATATTTGTTGGCAGGAATGTACACTGGTAAAACTTTTTTGAGAAATATTTAGTAAGTATAGCAAAGAAATTTTAAATGTTCAAAATCTCAGAGAACACTAGACAAATAAACACCAAAATGTTAATACTGATTATCTCTGAATAAAAACATCACAGATTTTTTTTTCATTATACTGTTTGATACACTAGCCAGAAGAAAAGCCCAGTTTAATCTTACTAATGTGGGGAACTCTACAATTGCAATGAAATCATTAACCATAACATATTAAGTACGATATTCACCCATAAACTTTTTCTTATTAATGCTCAAGTAAATCAAATACTAGAACATTAGTTTTCATGTGATTAGCCATAACCATTACCAATGGTAACTTCTTCTTTATCAGTAAGTTCCTAAAACTCTACAAATCAAATAGTTTAATTAGAACTATGAAACATCCAAATGAGAAGACAGCATTTAACACTAACTTCTTTATAACATCCTCAAAATTACTTGAAGTATTTTCTCTTAAATTAAAATTATTTAAAAGAATTGATTTACAAATGCCTAGTGGCTGTAAATTAAATGCCTTAAGAAATGTAACACAAACTCAAAAGTCAAATAAAAAAAATAAAAATTGGGAACTTATGCTCTTCTAAATTAATAACACAAGCCTCTCAGCATATTTAAATTTTATAGTTTTAAATACATCTGGGTTTATTTTGAGTTTTTATGGGTTTGAAAGTATTCCTGCTAAAATGCTTCATACATGCAAACATTTGAACATAGCTAAGCAATTACTGAAACCATATGATATATAATATGTATAATCTGTAACAAAATTCTCTGAAATGCTGAAGGAACTTTTCATTTTCTTAAAATACACATGTAGTTTTATCTATATAACTGAAACAATTCCACTACCTCTTCTACTGCACTATTTTTGTTAAATTGACCATCTGAAGCATCTGACTGATAAACATCTATTATGAGAAAGACGGCCCAAAGAAAAAGATGTCTTCATATGTTTTGCAGTTTAAAGTCTTACACTGTAAATATTTCTGAGATAAGCCTATAGAACCATTCACCTCAAAGATAACAAATAAGCAAAGAAATAAAAGACAGATGATTTAGTTTCTAAGACATGAAAGAAAGAAAAGGCATCCAATAAAGGTAAACTGGTCTGTGCTCCAACTTACAGTGGACCTTACAATATATGAAAGGAAGAAAAGAATAGTTCAGACCTAAATGAGTACACAGTAAGATACAAGTCAGAAAAAGTTTAGTTCAAAATTCCTATCGCAGTTTCCATTAAGTTTCTTAAAATGTGTTGATGCTCAGTTGTTTTCTGATGTACAAAAAATTCTGTAGCATTTCCTGGAGATTGAACTCTGTATCTGCCTGTCCCTACTTGTGATTGCTGCTGCAAACATACTTCCTAACAGTTGCTATCATCTATCATCTAAT